TTGTAGTTTAAAGTACCTTCTAATTAACGGTTATATTCGAAATGCGCTAACTGTCAATTTTCAATCGATTTTTACGCTTGTAAATAGTTCGTGCACACTGGTCACCAATGAGCACCGTGGCGTCACAGGAGAAACCGTGGCCGGTCATATACGACCAACGTGCCAGTCAAAGTGTTAATTAGCATCTCTGCAGCGAGACTGTGTACTCTCGGAAGCGTTATCGGGGCTGTACGAATTATCGAAATGGGAAGACCGTTGAACGTGCTCGCGAGGGAAAACAAGAAACCTTAGCGGAGGTCTAAGAAATCAATCGTCGCAGCTGTATCGCTGCCGGAGACACGAGGAAGCGGCAAAAACCGGGGAACAACTTTTCAGATCCCGGGGAAACATCGGAATTCCCGTTTGCTCGTGGCAAACAGAGTATCGGTGCAATAAAATTGTTTAACCTTCCTTGCTTTCTTCTATCCGCGGCTTCGATCGGGACCTCGTCGGCCATCGTGAACGATCCCTCTTCCATTATCTCTCACGTTACCGTCGTTATTATTATTATTATTATCGAAGCGAGGAAATTCCTACATCGACCTACACCGTGTCGAACCGAGTCACGAACGATCCCTCTTCCATTATCTCTCACGTTACCGTCGTTATTATTATTATTATCGAAGCGAGGAAATTCCTACATCGACCTACACCGTGTCGAACCGAGTCGAATCGACGCGAACTTGCGGTTTGGCCGCCGATAGGGTAGGAGGGGTAAGAAGAGGGAAGAAGAGCGTGCAAAAGTCGGCGAATTTTTCGTAGAAATACGTGGATTTATTGAAACATTTACATCCTCGTTTGCTCGCGCCGTTTCTCCGCTCCGCGGCGCGGAAACCCGCGAGGGCCGTGGCCGTCACTTCCGCTATGGCGGCCGCCATGTGTATGTACATCGGCCGCGGGGCGCGCCACGGGTCGCAACGGACCACGTGATCGCTCGAGATTCGCTGGTTCCCGGCCGGAAACGACGCTGGGAAAACTGTATCCGAAGCGACTCGAAGAATTAGAAGTGTCGGTAGAAGATGAGAACGGGGTGTTCGAAAGGGAGGCTGGAGAGAAAGAGACAGAGACAGGGGGGTGAGAGAAGATCGTGGTGGACAAGCGTGGAGAAATGTTGGAACGCGCAGGAACAATGAAAGCGTAAACATGGCGACCAGATTTTTCCTTCATGGTGTCGTCGTTCGGCCTCGGGACGTCGATGGGTATCGATCATGGGGGATCGAACGGTTGGAGGCCGAAGGACGACCGAAGGGAGGGGAAGGAACGAGCGTTCTCGGTTTATCTCTATCGTTTATCCGTATTTTTCTGCTTCCTTTTCTCTCCCTTCTCGTTTCCTTTCCGTTCCCGTTCTAGCGTGATGGTCGGTCGCGGAGAGAAATGAACGTGAGCGTATGTGGATCGAAGGGAACCTAGAAACACACTTGGATCCGAGGATATTTTTTCGCAACGCGATCCTCCGTCTCCTCTATTTACAGGGCGTTTGGTGGAGGGGCGTGTTTCAAAAGCAGAACCCTCTGACGGCCGAGGGATCGCGACTCCAGCTGCGGGGCCGTTCGGGGACCGATGCTTTTGAAACGCGCTGTACAATGCTCTCGCTTCCGTCTCTCTCGCGCTATCATTCGCTCGCTCACTCGCTCACACTTTGTATATATATATAATATGTATATACCTAACATAGCGTATCGTTAGACTCCATTTATTTATATATTTATATTTGTATTTATAATATTTATATTCATGTATATATATATATGTGTGCGCGCGCGTGTGTCTCTGTGTGTATATATATATATATACATGCATAGCTCCCTGTAACATATATAATATTGTACATCGTACACGTTACGTTGTGCGGCTATCTACACGTATCATACAAAAACACTGGACGTGTGCTGCTTTCGACGCTTCGAAGAAAATTCTTTTTACTCCCTTCGTGTGAATTCCGTGTGTATCCGTGTGTACCTGAGTGTGCGCGTGTCTGTACATGTGTTTGCGTGCGCGTTGTCGTGTGTTTTCTGCGTGTCGAGTGTGTTTGTACGAGGGTTTTCGAGTATAACGTTACGTACGAAACGCGCACCTCTACGAGGGGAAATACACAGGCGTCTGCTGCAAGCCTACTCCAAGTTCATTAATTTAGATTTATTCTCGCGGTTTATCACATTTTTTCGCTCTACGCCGGCGCTCGCGCCGCTTCGAGCCAGCCATCCAACCAACGGGCCCTCCTTCCTTTCGAGATCGCTCTCGATCGCGAATCGCGGCCTCTTGGGTCCTCCGCGAACGCTCCCCGGCCGGTCGGTAGTCGCGATTAGAGCAACGGAGATCATGGTCGCTGAGATTCCATCGCGGGGAAAGGGCAAATAGACGAAAAAGAAACGGAAAAATTGGTAAAAGCGCGGAATTACGACCGTGTCGAATCGACCTGTCATTCGCGATTGTGATCATGCGTGATCATGCCTTCTACCGTGATCATGCGAACGAAAAGAAATATGGCGAACGTGGCCCCGGGAAAGCTGACCACGATGATGATAGATTATGACTCCACTATGATGACCTCGTTGTTGTCAATTATGATCTCCAGAAAGTGATCTGGTATAATCTTCCAAGCTTGCTCACCAATTTCCTGTCAACTACCGTGTCATTCTCTAGTCAATTTTAGAAAATTAATTAAAGAAACTCCCTCCATTTCTTTAATTTCTGATCCAACATCGTGCACCATCTGTTGGATCAGTGAACTATGACAACGGCGGAATTTTAGAAAATTGTTTTCTTTTAAATTACAACGTATTCGAGGATCTGTGCTGCCAATTTTTCGTCGACTCCGAAGATCGGAACGACTGACAGGAAAATAGAAGAAACGTGGAGTCTCCGACACGCTGTTCGAAATAACACAGATAATCTATAGATCCCGAGTCCCGATAAAGTGCAATCGTCGAATTAACGAGCCATCCGACGCGCGTGCAATTGCACCGGGACGATAAATGACAGAACCGTCGGAGAGGAATCGAGATCAATGACCGGTGAAAAGAGGCATGTATCATCGAAGGTACAGATAATCCGAAAAAAGACCTTCGCTATCGCTTTCTAGTATCGCAATCTACGCTCGGTAAACAATCGTCTGGCGATTGTCGATTCTGCTCTTTGTTTCGAAGAAGTACAAAGAATGAGTCAGAAATTATAGATCACGAAGCAGTTCCTAAACAACATTCTCGCGACGAGAGTCGAAAAGTCTTACTGTTCCAAAGATCGAGGACTTTGGACTCCTACACTCTGTCAAGCTTCCTTCACACGTTAGACTATCAAACGAACAATTTACGATCGATTGAACGCTAAAATGGAAGATGATACCTTCAAATATTCGTCCTAACATGAAATCCAGTTTGACACGAATGATTGCACGAAAAAGACAGCGTATTTAACGAAACTAAAGCCTAAGCAATGTCATAGAAATTAAACAGCCGATTTTCGCAAACTTCATCGCACCACCGAACCAACGATCTTCGAACACGCGAGAGAGAGATCGAAATAGAGGGAAATCTTTGGCGACTACCTGATCGTTCAAAGGACCGTCACGAAGAATGACCCAAGATCGTCACTCGTGTCCCGAGACGCGAGGGAAATCGACTCGACGTCTAGCAAGCGACTTCGAGAAGGCGCGTGTTCTTCGAACAGAGACGAAAGTCTGCGCGGGGAAAGGAAGGAGCGAATGACTGACGTTCGAGGCGAGTGTCACGCAGCCAGAGGATCGTGCATCGTTGTCGCGTATCACAGAAAAAAACCTATGCGTATCATGGCGAACGTCAGTGGACCAGCCGCGAACCGGAAGCCCGCTGAGAACGGAGCGGGCCAGGCCAATAACGAGTCGCGACTTTGTTTCGTTTCCCCTTTAGATCGCGATCGTGTATCTAGTCCCGCGGCCGTGAGTCACGCGATTCGAGTGGCGCTTGATCGGCGTCTCTGATAGATCCCGCGATCCCGACGCCAGCAGCGCAACGATCGCCCGACGATCGGCGCCGATTCCGATGTCGATCGTGCTATCCGATGGACTCGCGTTTGCTGGGTCTCGCGATGTTTGCAAATCAAAATGGAAATCCGACGAAACGTCTACCAGGATCGAAAAGCCCACGGATCATCACGGTTCATCCCGAGCCATGGCAACCATAACGATCGTTACAGGGTATACTATGAAAGAGGGGACCGGGAAGAGCGACGATGTTAAAAACAACATCAGAGGTCGCCGTCGTCGCTCGATTCCTCGATCCACCATTTTATATTTAAAATTCGATTGTTCTAGGTACGAATATGTACGAGTAGGTACACCGACTGTGTACCTCCTAATCGATGACAAATAGGGTACCCGAAGCTCGTCCGATTTGAAAACAAGATCGACATCGCGCGCCAGATGATGCAAAACCGTGGCAGAATCACGTGACGATAGCAACGGACGAAAGCAGCTCCGACCCCCGAGCTACCCGAGTCTCACGAAACAGCCTAAAACGCGATCCTGGAATTATCTCGACACGAAGCAACTCACGACCACCCAGACCGTGTACACGATCGAACCGTTCACTCTTT